GGCCAGTAGTACCCGGCCCACAGGGCCTTCCTCGCCAATGATTGTCCTCTGAGGTGTTGCGCGTTGATGCCCTCGTGGACCTCTTGTAGGATGGTTAAGGCCTGGTTTTTGTCGACGCATTTGAGGAGAGGGATCGAGAAGTCTCTTCGGTACATCCTGTTCTCAAGTAGCACGTACGAGTAGACTCAACGTTTGATCGTACTGGCCTCCTTAGCTTCGTCGGGGAGAAGCCCTGTGCTAAGGTAGGTGTGTATGGGGGTCATCCAGCAGTCGCTGTCCCCGATGGCGTTGATGTTGAGAAGTGAACACGGAGGAGCGGTCTCTAACAATCTTCATTCCAAGAATCTTCTTCACTGCACCCAGATCCTTCATAGCAAAAGATTTGCTCAATGCTTTCTTGAGAGCAGTTATCTTTGCTTTATCTTTTCCAATAATAAGCATAGCATCAACATACAACAAAAGTATGATGGATTCCCCATTTTCATAGTTCTTCACAAACACGCAATGGTCTGCTGACGTCTTTGTGAAATTGTGTTGGGTCATGAAGAGATCAAACTTCTTGTACCATTGTCTTGGAGCCTACTTTAAGCCATATAGACTTTTGTTCAAGCGACACACAAGGTGTTCTTTGCCTGGTTCAATAAAACCTTCAGGTTGCTCCATGTAGATTTCTTCCTCTAGGTCTCCGTGCAAGAATGCTATTTTAACATCAAGTTGTTCTATCTCTAAGTCTAGTTTTGCAGCTAGACCAAGGATTTCTCTAATGGATGTCATCTTTACCACCGGTGAGAATATCTCTTCAAAGTTTATGCCTTTCTTCTGATGGCACCCCTTCACGACAATTCGTGCTTTGTATCTGGGATTTGGGTTGTTCTCTTCAGACTTGAGTTTGAACACCCACTTGTTTTTCAACGCCCTTCTTCCCTTTGGTAATTTTACCAAGTCATATGGCTGGTTTTCCTTCAGCGACTGTAATTCTTCTTGCATGGCTTGCATCCATTTCTCCTTGTCATCAGTCTCAATGGCTTCCATGAAGCTTTGAGGTTCTCCTTCATTGGTGAAATTCACATATTCACCTGAGAAGTGCCTTTTTGATGGTTGTCTGGATCTTGTTGATCTTCTCAATTGAGGTTCTTGATTTATCTCATCATCAACATCATCATCTACCATATGCTCTTCATGCATTGCTTGATTTTGTTCTATCTGATCAGGATAATTCATCTGATCGGGTTGTGTTGGCTGATCACGATCATAATTCATTTGAGGAATATCTCCCCCTGAGTTGTGTACCACAATGGTCTTTGGCTTCTTAGATTTAATGTTGTGGATTGTTTGATCTTCATAGAATACCACATCTCTGCTTCGAACAAGCTTCTTAGTAGCATGATCCCATAATCTAAAGCCAAGTTCATCTCTTGGTGAACCAAGGTATATGCACTCCTTCGTCTTCGCATCTAGCTTTGCTCTTTCATCTTTTGGAACATGAACAAATGCCCTACATCAAAAAACTCTTAAATGACCATAGAAGGCTTTCTTTCCATACCATACTTCATCTGGTATCTCTCCATTTAATGGTTTTGAAGGAGACAAATTAATCAAATCAACTGAAGTTCTCACTGCTTCACCCCAAAATGATTTGGGAAGTTTTGCATGAGAAATCATACTTCTGACTTTTTCTGCAATCGTTCTATTCATCCTTTCAGCTACTCCATTCATTTGAGGAGTCTTAGGAGGTACCTTCTCATGTCTTATTCCATGAGATCTACAGTAGGTTGCAAATGGGCCTATATACTCTCCACCATTATCTGTCCTTAAACATTTCAGTTTTCTTCCGGATGCCCGTTCTACAGAGGCATGAAATTCTTTGAAAACTTGAAGAACTTTATCTTTTGTCTTCAATGGATACACCCACACTTTTCTAGAGTGATCGTCAATGAAGGTAACAAAGTATTGTGAACCACCAAGGGACCTTTCAGATGTAGAGCAAACATCTGAATGAACAAGATCTAGGATATGCTTTCTTCTTCTTGCATCATCTGATCTTTGAAAGGATACTCTATTTTGTTTGCCTGCTAGACAATCTTCATAGGATTCAAGTGGTTGACCCTTGATGTTTGGAAGATGATTCTTAGAAAGAATATCCAAACCTTTCTCACTTATATGGCCAAGTCGTTTGTGCCACAATTCTTTGCTCATGTCTTGAGATACATTGATATCTCCCTTGTTTATCTTTCCCTGCATCATATACAGAGAGCCTTCCTTTTTACCACGAGCAATGATCATGCTTCCCTTAATGAGCTTCCATCTACCGGATCCAAATTGGTTTATCATCCCAATATCATCTAACTTTCCTGTCGAGATAAGGTTTAGACGCATGTTTGGAACATGTCTAACCTCCTTCAACACGAGCTTATAACCATTCTCTGTAACCATAGTCACCTCACCAATGCCAACAATCTTGCTTGTGACTTGATTGCCCATCTTCACCATACCAAAATCTCCTTTTTGATATGATGAGGAGAATTCTTCATGAGGGGTTACATGAAAGGATGCTCCTGAGTCAATTATCCAAATGCAATCATCAGACGCTACATTTAGATAGTTTTCCTCTTCAATAAGAAAAAAATTCTCGTTAGTTGCTACGACTGTTGTCGTTGTTCCATCTTCCTTCTTCTTTGGATCGATTTTATCAGGATGGATCGTTCCAGCCTGCTGATCTCTCTTAAAGAATCTGCACTCAAACTTTCTATGGCCTGGCTTGCCACAATAATAACAACTTAGTTTAGAGCGAGACTTTGATCTAGCTTGTGATCTCCCACGACCTCCTCTTTCACGATTCTTACTCCTTCCTCTATTATCAACAATATTTGCTTCGAACTGGTTGTTGAAGCCTCTTTCCCTCCGTCTTGATTCTTCACTTAGCAAGGAATCTGTAACAGAATCCATGACAAGTTTTTCATCTGGAGCAGAGTTACTGAGAGTGACGACTAGAGTGTCCCAACTCTCGGGTAGAGAACTTAGGAGTAGAAGAGTTTGTAACTCATCATCTATCTTCATGTCGGCTTTCGTTAGTTGATTCACAATACCTTTGAAGGTATTTAAATGCTCGATCATGTTTTGGCCATCAGAGTACTCCAATTTCAATAGTCGTCTGACAAGGTGGGCTTTGTTCCTTGGTGTCTTCTTTTGAATCAAGGAATCAAGTTTCGTCCACAACTCATACGCATTAGTATAAGTTAACACATGCTCGAACAGACTTCTGTCTATGTATTTTCTGATCATTGCTACTGCCTTCCGGTTTTGAAGTTCCCACTCCTTATCGGTCTTCTTCTCGGGTTTATCCTTTTGGGTGATTGGCTCATGAAAGTTTTTGCAATACAAATGGTCTTCCATCATTGGCTTCCAATATGAGTAGTTGTCAGCAGTTAGCTTGAACATATCACCATCATGGCTGATTGAACCCTCCATCTTGAGTTACACAGGAAACAATTTCTTTAACCAACGTGACTAGTATCGTATAGTAGAATAAATGAGTTCGTGAATAGTGCACCAGGAAAGTTCCCAGGTAAGAGAGGTGGGTCAATAGACACGCTTAAATACCAAGTCTTTCCTTGCCAGAACTTTCCTAGACATGCAATATATCACTACCTCACTTTATTTCTAGCGACAAGAATATTTCTTTTCTGATGTGGAAGATCAAACAATGTTGCAGCCACAGAGCATACTAAGAATTATCTTGCAGATACGACACCTCAGAGTCCCAGAGCAACGAGTGCTTTGATACCACTGTTGGGAAATGCCTGCATAATTTCCCTCCTCCGTGAACTCAAAATAGACACTTAGCGGAAACGTGAAATAAAAGCGTAATGACACAAAGAGAATTTTAGCGTAGAAAACCTTCTCAATGTGAGGAAGGGAAAAACCACGGGACCCTTGGGCCTCTTAAAACATCCACTATAATGATAATGGGAATACAACAACTTCACCCTTAGGTGGATCTCACTACAATATATCTCTCAATTTGTAAGAAACGCTCTCACAAATTGGCTCACTATTTCTCTCACAAGAAACTCTCTATGAGGATTTTCTCTCTTGAACAAGGCTCTCTTTCTCTCTTGCTACTTGTTGTTCTTCTCTTGTGGTGTGTTGTGAATGCTTGCTTATGATCCTATTTATAGGAGAGGCAAGCCAAAGTTGCCTTACATGCATGAAGACACTTGTCATTTGCCTTTCATGCAAAACACCAAGTGTCCCTTGCAATACATGCACTACACCATGTGTTACTCATGCACCACAACATGTGTAAATCATACACCTTGCTACTTGTCATCACATGCAACCTTCCATTTTGTCAAATATATGGTGGCCATGTGGCAATGGCTGGACTCCACATTATGCAGGCATTTCCCAACACAACTAACTATCTATCTATGCAAAAACTATATTCTAAATAGTGTGACTGATGGTTTATATGATAATTGCAATGCTTATAAGATTGCAAAAGACATCTTAAATGCTCTTAAAAATAAATAACATTGAGGAAGTCAGGGAAAAATGTGGTGAGCCACTAGCGTAACTGTCCGAAGACTGTTGAACTATGCGTGGATACAAAATTTCATGAATTAATATGAGTGTTCCTACCTACAACCATATTTAAGAATCTGTTCTAGAATGCAGTACGATATTGTATTGTTTCACTAAACTGTTTTATTTTGGAAACTTTGTAGTTGATAGTCTATTTGCACAATTTTGCGCCATAAAATAAAATCCAACAAACAATTCATCAATAACTAATAGTATAATCATTGATCATAATTTATATCATTCATAATTTCTAAATAGTTAATCTAAAAGTTTCTCTATGTATATGCTAGAAGTAGAACTACATAGAGTGTGATTCAGTAAAGTGTTCAATTGGTCTCTACTCTCTGGTATAAAAGGTTTCCATGAAGCCTTAATTTATTGAAAATTCAAAATATTCAGAACTTTGATTCCTGCAGCTACTTGTGAGGATTCAAGTTGGGGAATAGCCCCAAGATATACTCTGGCATGAAATCATGTCTTGTTAGAATCCCAACAATTGGAGGCCTCTGCACAAACCATAACATTATAATACATTATTCAACTTTGTTTAACAACAATAGTACAATAAATCAAAGGTGTTGCAAAAAGAGAAACACTTACTCCTGGTATCTTTGGCACAACTAGCAAGTGTCTGAGTCCAAGTTCCCTAAAAAGAAGAGCAGCTTTTGCAAGTGACATTGTTTCGACAACAGTATAAGGAGATTTGTTAGTTATTGGATGAAGATCAACAAACATTTCCATCTCCTCTTGTGAAATTTCTAAATCTTCCAGAGTTATCCCTCTCCCTAAACCTGGTTTCGCAAAATCACTTGCCTTCATCTTTTTAATAATGGTAGACCTTGTCGTAACTCTCTTCCTAGTGAGCAATGTCTTGTGCTTGAGAAGTACTAGCAGATGAGACCTCAACACCAAACCGCATAACTCGGGAGCATCGGTTAAAGGTGGTTCGTCGATTACGGGGAAGCCGTGATGTCCTGTCACTTTTAATGCATGGACAATGGTACCAACTTTCTCTATTCCACAGAAAGTAAAGAGTGGACCGGATACAACATCGCCTGCGACTAAATTCCTCATGTATGGCTCTGCATGTGCCTCCATGAAAGGAAGTCCTTTCAACATCACAATCTGATCATAAACACCTTTGTTGAAACAATCTGCCACTGTTTTAGAAACGAGGAGAACCAGCATAACTAATGGGAGCATCAACAAGTTGTTAGTGAGTTCGAGAAGTATGACACAGAGAGAAACTGTCATTCTCATGGTGCCGCCGAGGAAAGATGCAGCTCCAAGGAGAGCAAAATAGCCGGCATCAAGATCCGTGAATGGATCTAACACGGTCCCTACTAGACGTCCGTATGAAGCTCCTGCAAGTATGACAGGAATGAAGAGACCAGAGGGAATGGCAACACCGTATGTGACAACTCCAAGCAAGTATATCGCCACAAAGAAAATTATGAGACTTGATAGTTGAAATGCAGCATTGGAAGATTCAGAGCTATCAATGAATAGTTTGCGTATGGCATCGTCATTGGTAGTGAAAAGGAGTGAGCTTAGATCATTGAAGTGGTTTGGTGGACACTGAAAACTGTCGTAGTGCATTGAAAAGCCGGTGGATGGTGAGTTTGGGCATTCTCCTGGACATGGCACACACTTTGATAGCAACGGTAGCCCAAATCGGATACAAGAGGTCAAAAACGAGATAATCATCACTAGTAGAATCTTGAATATAGCACCTTTCCTGCAATTTGATTAAGTTATTATTAGTCACAGTGCGCGCGTCATATCATCGTTGTCAACCACAGATTACAAAAAACAAAAAACAGAAGTTTGATAACATGTCGTGCTAAATCGCATATCACATTACAATAGCAATTTGTTCAAATTCTGCTATGCAATAGTGCTATAGCTGCTATTTAACAACACTACACAGACATACCCATTTATGGTGGTGTAGGTGCGAAGGACTTTGTCGACAAGATAATTGTAAAGGCTTCCCATGAGACCACCAATGACTCCAAGAAATATAACTGCAAGGAGGTCGGGTGTGGTGTAGGCAGGCTCTACAGAATTGACATCAAACATGATGAGTCCTCCTTCCCCAAATAGACCACATTTGCCTTTTCCTTGATGACAAAATTGTATAAGACCCCTAAGAACAACTGCTACAACGGCGGTGGTGAAAAACGTGCGCCACAGAAGAGCGCTCCTCCACCACGAAGCTGCTTCTTCAAGTGCGAAAAGGACTCCACCAACGGGAGCACGGAAGGCAGCTGCAACACCTGCAGCTGCACCGCACGTGATCAAATCCCTTCGATCTCTATCATTTTTGAAGTATCTGAGCCATCTCCAAGTGAGTCTATATTTACGAGAACCGCCTTGTCCAAGTAAATTAGCAATGCAAGCACCTGTATGCACCATAGGTCCTTCTTTCCCCACAACAAAACCACCAGCAACTCCTAAAATTGAACCAAATATCTGTCCACCACTTCAAACCATTAACTATCATCCATATATATTCTAATCAAAACAAATTCCATAGAAGTAACGAGTAATCAAGTACCTTGACAAAGAGTGTAGACGGAGCCAAGATAGAATGCGCATCAATGCCATTGAGGTATGCCTTGACCTCGGGTATGCCAGAACCTGCTGCTGCAGGGGCAATGTAAGCACACAGAGCGGCCGCGCCAACCCCTAAAATCATGTTACAGCCAAAGTAAACTGCAAATGCCTGATGATACTTTTGGTTGATCATGAGATTGTTGGTAAGTAAAAGTTTGAAACCAGCAATGTTCTCAACTCCAAGGTTGTTAAAAAAGCCAACAAGTCCTGTAATTAAACCAATAAGGAGTGCAAGGGTCCACTTGAGAGCAACATATTGGTATATCTCAACCTTTCTTCTTGACCTCCAGTCCTGCTTTAACAGATCATTCTCAATCATCCTGCATAGTCCATGCCACCATTATTAACATGTACTACCTAAATGTTAATCAATTCTACACGAAAACAATCCCTTTCATGACCATGTTACATTAACATCGTTTCTAAACTATCAAACACGGACATCCCAAATACGCTCTGACACGGTAACACCGATAGTAATTTAAATAAATAAATAAATTAATTTAAATAAATAAAACTTAACACTATCGTTGCAAATATCCAATATCGACATGAACACGACAAGTTTATTTTCAGTAATTTAAATAAATAAAACTTAACACTATTGTTGCAAGTGTCTAATATCGACTCTGACATTGACACGGCGATACTGATAATAATTTTGAAAAATGTCACGGCGATACTGATAATAATTTTGAAAAAATAATTAAATTAATCGTAATCACAAGTGTCCGTGTAAGCCTACACTATCCTCTATTTTTAGTAGATTGATGCTAGTTTTTAAGTTGTAATATTCTTTTATTTTAATTGTAATAAACTTTTTTACAATCTTAACCTTTTCACTTTCTAATCAATACATTACGATCTCAAAAATAAATCAAAATCAAAATGTATTTAGTTAAAATTTGACCGGATTCATTTTGTTTTTTACTCATCGGACAAAGTATTTTCTTAAATCGATTCAATGTTTCAAGACACTTTTGGACGGTTTTAGTTTTATTTTATTGATTAAAAAATATTGAAATAAAATTTATAATAAATAAAAATAAATTCATTATTAAAATGACTATACTTGGGTCTAAAAAGAATAAAAAAAGCATAAGAGTGAAATTCATACACACTAGCTACATACTATAAAAGATTTAGTGATGGTTAAATTTGTGACGCGGCTTATTAAATATTCTCTTAGTCTTTATCTTATGTGTTGCATTGCACTAATAGATAAGGTAATCAAAATCTTGAATTTAAACAAATTTATTTTTGTCGGTGTAAAAATAAATTACATAGTTGTACAATTTTATTTTCATAATAAAAATAATATCATATATATATAATCCAAAATTTTATATTCAATTGTAACATAAAAAAATACACGAAGAAAGTCAAATTAAGAAAATTAAAAAGTAAGAAAATGTAAAAAAATAAGTTTAAAAAAATGTTGAAATATTTTCAACAAGTTTAGTTGAATTCACTGAATGAATATAGTCCGAGTCAAACCAACAAAAATCGATTTGTTTTTTCAGAGTTTGGTAAAATTAAAGTTTATAGATCAAAAAACTCGAAAATCGCAATTTTAATAATATTGGTGAGGATATAATGAAGATGTAATTTGAATTTGTGAGAAATGAAAATATGAAATGATATAGAGTAGTAATATGGAAGGAAAATGAAAGACTGACTCGTAATCAAGACTTTGAATTGGAGATTTATTGGCTCCGACGATGGCGAGTTGAGAAGATGCATTGGTTCTCCGTCTAACCAGCAACGGTTGTTTCCGATCATCATCACCATCACCGTCGCCAATCTCAATTGTTTCATCTGCTTCTTCTGGTTCCCAGTGATCCATTATTTGATGATCACACAAGAGTTGAATGGAAGAAAAATGAATATTATTGTGATAACAACAACACTCTCATCTCAATCTCATATTCACTTCTCTGCATGTAATCAATCTAATACTCCCACCGTCCTCCTGTGCTGTCACTTTTATACCAATATTTCATTTATGTTTCTACTCTTTTTTATTTTTTATTTTATTTTATTTTTTTATTTTACTACAATATAAGTTAATCATTAATTAACATACCTTTTTTTATTCATATTCTTTTACCGATGGATATCATTTTTATGTTAATATCTTCTCTTTATACATTCATTTTGTAATTTAAATGTTTTCTACTTAGACATTAGAGATTAATTTATATGTTCTCTTAGTATAAAAGAAAAAAAGTTTTACATAATTGATATATCACAACCGTTTAAAAATGATATTTTAAGTATAATCTATAATATATATCTATAATATATAAAGATAATATTTGATTTTTCTGGTGTAACTTTTTTTTATACCAAATTTATCCTTATTTTAAAATATATAACTTACTCAATAATTTTCATTGAACTACTACTATTATCTTTCATATAACTCCCTACTAATAACTTTTCATATAATTTTTATGTAAAATTAATATTAAATAAAAATATATCATTTATATTTATATGTGTGCAATAAAAAAACGGACAGACGGACAGATGGACGCTAATTATAATTAATATAAAAAATTAAATATTTATAAAAATTTAATTATTATTATTAACTAATTGTGTAAAATATACACTTTGGATGTGTATTAATTAAATTTTTTGTACTTATCCATATTTACATCTATAGAAATAATTGACTTTTGTAAAAAAAAAATTCCATTGTATAATTTCTAAATTATTACTTTTACTAATATTATTTGAAATTTTGATTAAAATATTATAAAAAAATTTAATTATATTTTATTTTATTATAATAGAACAATCGCACTGCAATAGGAATATCAATGAAAATTATTTTTATTCTATTTCATAAAAATATTTAATTGTTATATATGTAAAAGTTATTTCTTTTAAGAAATATTTTGATTATATTAATAAGTAATATATGTAATCAAGATTAACAAAATAGTGGCAAACCAGCAACAACATGGGTTGATACTCCTTTTTGGATCATAAAATCAATCTTTTTAAACACTACATTTATTGTTCTAAAAGATATTGGTATGCATGAACATTTGTAATTTTTGTAAAAAGTCCACTATTTCTTGCTCCCGGTGTTAAAAAATCAAAGGTATCAAAAGCAAATGATATGAAAGCAGGTTGATTGTCGAAACACGTTTTCTCATACTTGACCATTTTACTTGAAGTGGTTTTTAGAATTGTTTGTCCCACAGTAAAACTTGTCGTCCTTAATTACACCAATGAGGAAACATCGGTCAACTATATAGTTAAACATGTTTAGGGATGAAAAATGGCCAGAGTTTGGATATGGTACAATAGTAACCATCCTCATACCCGTAAATTGAAAAAATCCTCGTACACGAGCCCGTACCCACAATTTGAAAAATCCCCGTACATGAGTCCATACCCGCTTGAACCTCAAAGTTAACACCTATACATGTATCATATGGGTATGTAAGTACTCATACCTTACCCATTACATGCATTCCTATTAAAATTTATAGGTCAATTATAAAATATCATATCATTTTAAGTTTTTAAAAACATTAAAAAGTTTTCAAAAAAAAATTTGTTAAACAACACTTATATTAAATATGTAATGGTTTAACACTGATAAAAAATTTCAAATTGATAAACATACATAACTAAAATATATAAACATAAACTAAAATACATAACTATATATTGTGCGGGTATGGGGCGGGGTGGGTATTAAGGTGCTCATACCCATATCTATACCCGCTTATTTTTATGGGTAATTACCTGAGCTCGTTCCCATACTTATTTTTGCGGGTTTTTAGTCTACCCATTGAGGGTAATTTTGCAGGTGTTAAGAATGTAATTATTTGTGTCAAAATATCTATGTGTCGAGTTTTATTAGTGTGTTGAAGTGTCGAAGCAGGTTGCTTCACACATGATTTCGACTTAGGCCTATTTTAATAGTGTTAACTATTTTGGGCTTTTATAGTTTTGTGTTTTGCCTTAGGGTGCAAGCTAACATAAACCTATAAATAGGCAGTAACCCTTATTTTATAAACAACTGATATAGCTCATAACATTGTATTCAAAGAATTTGTAGTTGCAAGTGAATAAAGAAGTTTTCCACAGGTTGTGGGCAGAGAGAAACTCTATAGAAAATATTCTTCTTCTCCAACGTTATTTTATTTATTTATTTTCAACCTTTTCTTTTTATTGTCATTGTACGATTGATAAAAAAACTTGTTCATCAAGATTGATTAGAATTTCTTCATAAGTTGTGGTTGAATTTCCAACATCTGGTATCCAGAACTCCGGTTACGATTCAAGGAAGCAAAACTGTGATGACGATGAATCATCCAAACGGGAACTTTTCGGCGAACCTTCCACTTCTCAAGAAAGATAATTATGAGAATTAATGCAAGAAGATTAAGGTGATTTTCTGTTATCAAGATTTGTGGGATCTTGTGAAGGAATGAGTAACACCGCTTGTAGAAAACGCGACGGATCATGAAAAGGATGCACACAAAGAATTGAAGAAGAAAAATTATAAAGCTCTCTTTATAATTCATCAATGTGTTGATCCATATGATTTTGAAAATGTTAGTGATGTAGAATCAGCAAAAGAAGCCTGAGAGATTCTTGAAAAATCGTTTGGAGGTGCAGAAAAGGTGAAAGAGGTGAGGTTACAAACTCACAAAAGGACTTATGAATTACTTCAGATGGAAGACGATGAAAGTATAACAGATTTCTTTACTAGGGTTACAAAACTGGTGAATCAAATCAAGGTATATGGAGAAGTGTTGACATCAAGATCAGTTGTTGCAAATATCTTAAGATCAAGTGGTAGTAACCACAGAAGTGTCGAAAGACTTGTCAGCATTGACAAAGGAAAAGCTTCAAGGGACGCTTGAATCTTATGAACAGAGGATGGATGAAAGAGCTGCAGGAAAGTCAAAGAGTGATATGGCTTTGCGGACGCAGTCAGAAAAAGAAAAGAAAGGCTAGGGAAGCTGGAATGGCAACAAAGGTATAGGAGACTACAACAATTCGAGTGGTCGAAATCAGCAGAAAAGAAACTGGTCGAATTAAAGAAAACCCTAGAACCAAGGAAAACCAAAGAGATGGTGTTGCAAGTAGAGGAAAAGGTGGTGGTCAAAAGTCTGTCAAAAGTCACATTCAATGTTTCAATTTTCAGAAGTATGGTCACTATTTTAGTGATTGTTCAGAAAAGAAGAAGAATCAAGAAACTGATGCAAAGCTGGTGAAACATGAAGAAGAAGAGATGTTTCTAATGGTCATAACAAGAAATGAAGAAAGATTTCAGGATCAATGGTACTTTGACTCAGGATGCTCATCATACATGACTGGAAGGAAAGATTGATTTGTCAACATAATCCATCAATGAAGAACATGGTGAAATTTGCAAATGAAAATACTCTAGCAGCTGAAGATATTTGTGATGTTTTGATTATGAGGAAATATGGCAAGAGGTCAATAATTTTTAATGTGTTGTGCATATCAGGCATGAAGAGTAATTTTCTCAGTATATGATAGTTGGTCAAAAGAAATACAAGGTGTCAGTCAAACACAAGATGATGAGAGTTATTGACTCAGGTGGTAGGTTAATCTTGAAGGCTCTAATGTCTCAAAAAGGACCTTCAAGATTGAACTTAATGTGATGGAGCATAACTGCCTTGCAATTGCAGCCAGCAGAGATGAATGGTCATGGCATTATCTACTTGGCCATCTCAACTTCAAAGACATCATAGATTTGAAGAGAAGAAATATGGTTTCAGAATTACCAGAAATCGACATTCTAAGTGAAGTGTGTGAAGAATGTGTTCAGACGAAACAACACAAGAATAGTTTCAGCAAAGATGCATGAAACAAGTCAAAGGAAATTCTCAAAGTCATATACTCTGATGTATATGGTCCTATCCAGGTGGATTCGATTGGAGGTAACATATACTTTGTCACGTTCATAGATGATTTCAGTAGAAAACTGTGGACTTACATTTACCTGATCAAGAAGAAAAGTGAAGTGATCGAGGTATTTGCCAAATTTAAATCTATGGTCGAAAGATAAAGTGGTCGAAAGCTAAAGATTTTGAGGACTGATGGTGGTGGAGAGCATGTGTCGAATGTTTTCGATGCATTAGGTGAGAAAGAAGGGATTATGCATGAGGTGGTGCCACCCTACACCCCGCGGTAGAATGGAACTGCAAAAAGGAAGAATAAGACCATCATGAATATGGTGAGAATCATGTTGAAAGGCAAGCATCTACCCAAATAATAATGGGGAGAAGTTGTGTCGACAATAACATACATTCTGAATAGATGTCCGACAAAGAAGCTAGAAGGAATCATGCTAAAAGAATGTTGGTCTGGTGTCAAGCCTAGCCTAAGTCATTTGAATGAGTTAGGATCTATAGCACATAGATATATGTCAGACCAGTTGAGAAGAAAGCTTGATGACAAGTCGAGTCAGATGATCCTGATAGGATATCATTCGACTGGAGGATATAAGTTGTTCGATCCAGTGAATAAGAAAGTAGTGATCAGCAGGGACGTGATCATATATGAGCTTAAGGAATAGGATTGGACCGAGAATGTTAAGAAGGATTAAGTGAGAATCTTATGTGAAGAACCATTTAGTGAAGTCGAAAGATAAATTCAACAAGAAGAAGTCAGAGGTGAAGCAGGCACAAGCAAACCTCGACGAATAAGACACATGCATGCAAGGTTTCAAGAATGTGTAATTACATCAGATAATAATTTGGTTATAATTTGAAGGACAATAATTTGAAGCCTGTCGAGTTGTCGACGAACTTGTCGATGTTGGGGAGGGGATAGGCGTCCTTG